TGGACCCCTTCAGACCCACACTGCACAGACAGGACTTGGACCCCTTCAGACCCACACTACATAGACAGGACCTGGGCCCCTTCAGGCCCACAATGCACAGACAGGATCTGGACCCCTTCAGACCCACACTGCACTGGCAGGACCTGGACCCCTTCAGACCCACACTGCACTGGCAGGACCTGGACCCCTTCAGGCCCACAGTGCACAGACAGGACCTGGACCCCTTCAGGCCCACAATGCACAGACAGGACCTGGACCCCTTCACACCCACACTGCACAGGCAGGGCCTGGACCCCTTCACACCCACACTGCACAGGCAGGACCTGGACCCCTTCACACCCACACTGCACTGGCAGGACCTGGACCCCTTCACACCCACACTGCACAGGCAGGACCTGGACCCCTTCAGACCCACAGTGCACAGACAGGACCTGGACCCTTTCAGACCCACACTGCACTGGCAGGACCTGGACCCCTTCACACCCACACTGCACTGGCAGGACCTGGACCCCTTCAGACCCACACTGCACAGACAGGACCTGGACCCCTTCAGACCCACAGTGCACAGACAGGACCTGGACCCCTTCACACCCACACTGCACTGGCAGAACTTCTAGTTAGAATTATAAACGTTTGTTTAAATCAGAAAAACTTCTGGTTTCAACAACTCCAGCACGAGTCAGGAGGGACTTGTAGTTTTTTGTTGGAACTGGATCTATTGTGCGTTTCTATGCTAATCCACCTTCAACAGCTAAGCCCCGTCCCTTCATGGCCCCGATGCGTTGCCATGGCGAACAGTGTGAACAAAGGAAGAGAACTCGCTCTGAGGTCCTGGTTTCCTCCTGACAGAATGCAAATACTTCTTTTTCCACAGAAGGACGGGGACAGTTGAACTAAGTCCCACACAAAGTGTCTTTAGTGGAAGAAAAACAACAAAGGTCCTCTTTAGTCCTTCCACCTTGATTTCCCTTCTCTACAGGGTTCCTCGTTGGCTCTTCTGGACCAAAGGGCTCTAAGGGTTCTCTGAAGGTGCTGAGAAGAAGGACGTGCTTCCATTTTTTATTGTTTGCTTCACGTTGCAGATAGGAATAAATAAAAAAAAAGGAAATGGATGGTTTTAACTTCCACTCTGTCGTTCAGTTCCTTATGGCCCACCAGCAGCCGAATAAAACGAGCCTGAAGACCTTCGGCTACAAGACGTGCAGGAAAAGGTCCTCTCACAGGGGGGCGCCAAGAAGGCAAACAGGAAGTGAAGAAGAACAAAATCTCTTCTTTAGAATTGTTTTAAATATTTCATGAGACCTGGTGGACCTCCGTTTGAAAAAACAAAAATGAATTCTACCAGAACTGATGAGCTAAGGACTAGTCTGAACGAGTCTGAGACCAAAGTGAATCGACGCAGACTTCAAACGTCTTTACACACTCAAAACTTTTAGACAAAAAGTTTGTTTATAAACCTTCAAATCACTGCTGGTTTCACATCAAACAGCGACTTCAACAAAAGCACGATATCTTGCAGGAAATGCTACAGCCGGCTGCTGCTGCTGCTGTTTGAGCAAAGTAAAACAGAAGTCTTTCAAAGTAAACATCCTGATGCATGCTCAATAATCCAGGTCGAAAAATCCAAAAAAAGTCCAGAGGACCAGATTGAACTTTTTTGGATTTCAAAGTAAACGTGTAACTGAGATGTTTCCCCATCGCTGTAAAAAATTACAAAGAAAAAAAAAAAAAAACGCTCTTAAAAAAATGAACAGAAGAACGTTTTGTGGATTAAAGTCATAATTTCTGTGTTTCTGAGGAAACGCCGTGAAGAACGGCATGATGGGAAGTTTCAGCCTCAGAACATCCTGGTGAAACAAAACGTCCATCGTGGCTGCAGGAAATCTTTGTTTTAATGCAGAGTCAGCGTTTACATCGTTGATTTCCTGTTTGGTTTTATTTCATTCAAGTTAACTACTTTTAAATCTTTTGTTCATAAATCAAAACCTTCGGCTCATTCAGCCGACGGCTGCTGCGACTTCTGCAGCTTCTATTCTTTTTAAAATATTTTACTTTTTATTTTTACCTGAGATCTCTTCAGTTCCTTTAAAAATGGTTTTCTCTGAAATCTACTTCAGCCACTTGATCTGTTGTGCCATCTTATGCTTTTAGCTACTGTTTTGGTGCTTTAGCTTATAGTTGGTTTGTCTGAACAGTGTGATAATTGTTCTTAAAGTCAGATGAAAAGACCAACAACATAAAAACCCTCCATACAAAAACTCGGTCTCAGAAGAACGTTCTCCTGCTCTCAACTTAAACTTCACAGGATTTTGGATGAAACTGTCCAACAAGTTGACAAAAACGGACCTCCGACTAAAAACACTGGTTTGATTTTGTGTCTTGTCCGGTTGTGAACTTCTCAGTTAGTTTGGTATATAACCCGTGTGACACGGACCCCTCGTGTTCCCGCATATGCTGGCCTGGCAGGAACAGAAGCTGGCCGACGACCATATTTGGGCGTAACGGGCGATAATCCAGCAGACTAATTTGGGTCTGGCTGAGACAATGCAGTTATTATTTTCCTCTGGACCATCAGGCAGAGGACACACAGCCATCTGCTGGGTCCATACACACATCTCAATTACACACACACACTGACACACACCTCAGTTACATCAGTGAGAGCAGCTGGAAGCGACGCCTGCTCTCAGAAAAGCGTTCAGACATACATGAACATGAAGGCTGCTGTTGGAGCGACGGGGCGGCACACGCACAGACTCTCCGTCTGGTTCTGCAGAAAACAGTAGAAGAAGAAGAAGCACCAACCGTCCAGGAGCTTGTTTTCTGTACAACAACTCTGACAGACTCATCAAGTCAACGCCCAAACTCAAAAAAATAAAGAATAAATGAATTCTGACTTTGTTACGAACAGTTACATTTTTCAAAGAGCCTACATTAATCTGACATTCCTGAGCAAACTTCAGACTGTATTTATGATGATTTTATTTTAAAATAAATTAAACGAACAGGAAGCTCCCAGAAACAGGAAGGAGGAAAAGTTCCCTGCCCACACACCGCCGTCTCCCCTCCTCCACCCAGGGACTAATTCCTCCTCCAAGATTGATTGATGATTTCTATCAAATAATTGATTAATTGTTTAATCGGGTCCCCTAAGCTTTGCTGCCATCTCCGCCCTGCCCGTTATCTTGTTCGCTCAGCTTTTATCAGCCCAAGAAGAAGAAGAAGAAGTGGCACGACGATTAAAAGGCGGAAGCGACAGTCAGAGAGAGGAAGATCAGCCTCGTCTTCGTCGTGTTTTAGCCCCGCCCTCTAATCCGACATGTGTACAAGAAGTTCATCAACCTCCCCGCATTAATTACGCTGCTGCTTCCTTTTTATCGCTCCTCTTCTTCAGTTTGTACTTTACAGGAAGAAAACATATCACTAATTATTCATCTGCTTTAATGAGATGGTTCTGCGTGTGTGTGTGTGTGTGTGTGTGTTTGTTGATTTAGGCCTGTTTGCTAGCTGTCAATGCTCAGAGATCCTCCCGCTCGGCGTTCGGTCCTTAAACGCTGCTCCGGCACTTTTCTGTTAAAGAGGATTTTCTGGTTGAACCGGTTCACGACGAGGAGACGTGTTCGGCCAATCCAATGTTTCTTTAACGATGGCCGCTTGGTCTTATTCAGGTACGACCAACACTCAACACCTTCAGGTCATTTTAAATCCTCAACAGACACTAAAAGGAGACAACGGTTGATAACGTATTTTAGATGCGTTAGCAAAATATCTCAGAAACTACTGAATAGATTTTTTTAAAAACAGTTAAAGTAATCGGTGAATGATTATTTATTATTTATTGATTCAAGATGGCCGCCACAACTGGCTGACCTTAGAAAGATAAAATGTGGTGTGGTAGTAGCTGAGTCACCTCCAACACACGCTCAGCGTGTACAGATGAAGTGGTGGGCGACATGCATTCATTTCATCTGAACTGTTCGTTATAAAAAAATGCTGAGTTTGATTAATATTTTTATTTAACCTAGATTAAAACTCTCAAATAATATAATTGTAATATCTAGCACCCTGTCAAAACTAATCTCATGTTTTCTTCAACAAATGTGGCATTTTTCTACTCAAATAAAACAAAACGATCCTTTAGAAGATAGAAGAAAACCAGTAAGTATTTTGTTTTTCCAGGAATTTTAAGACTAAACTTCAGTTTGATGCAGTTTGATGCGTGACCTTCTCTATTAACAAGAGAAGGAAACACACACACAGACGCGCGCGCGCACACACACACACACACACACACAGACGTTAAATATGCATCGTTTCTGGCTGCACAAATCAACAAGCGTCTGACGAGCTGATGAGATTTTAAACGAGTCTTAATTTGTCAGAGATTGTCTTTGGTAATGACAGGAGAGGGACGGAGAGAGACGGGGGAGGGGGACAGGACCACAGGTACGTGGGCGGCTTTCATGCGTTCCAAAGATGAACCAGAACCAGCGACTGACCTGCGACAAGCCCAGGTAGATGGAAACAGTCTCAGAGATGTAGAGGAATCGTCCCTCCTTGTTTAGTGCAAATACGAACCCGTCCAGCGACTGAAACAGAGAAAACAGGAAAACGTTCAATTCACTGGAGACACTTTCCAACATGGACCCAGAGTCTAAACTTCCCAGAACCTGAGATTAACGAAGCTAAGCTGATGCTAACTTGAGACTCATTAGTCTGAACTGACTAACCAAGAAATCAAGCAGGTCTGTGGGTCGATCAGCATCAGAGCATGGAGCTACTTTTACAATCGGTTTTAAATTTGTGAAAACAAGGTTGATTTTTTCATTTAAACACAAAACATCTGTGAAGATAAACACAATAAAATAAATATCAGTGTGTTGAGTTGTGTTTATGATGATCACGATGTAACACACACACACCACAACAGATGAGGCCATGTTTCAACGTTTCACACCCGTCACTCGGAGTTGGACTCTCCATGCTGATGTTACACAATCACAGCCGAACACGGAGACGTTCACGTCAGGTGACGTTCAGGTTTGAATTATTAAAAATCTTCTTGTACAGTTTGTCCGTCCTGTCGGCTCTGATTCCTCCAAAACCAAGTCCCATATTCCTGCTGGGCTTTAGAAACAAAACCTTCAGACTGGGCTTCAACCTTCCTGCAGACAGTTCTGGTCTCGGATGCAGCTCGCCTCGTTCCGGTTCTGGTTCACTTCAAACACAGTAGAACTGTGGAACCGGCAGAGATGAGCAGATAAATCCAACGAGTGTTTTTCTTTCCATGGTTTTATCATCCCGTCTGATTGAGGTCCAGGTTTAGCAACAAGAACCTCCAGGTGAGCAAATCTGCTATTTTCAGGGGGATTAACGTGGATTAATTAGAATTAGAAAGCAAGTTTAAAGGTGGAGGAGTGTGTATATGTGTGTGTGTGTTCTGCTGATATGTAAACACTCCCTCAAACTCAGACACAGATGTGCTGTAAACAAACAGAACCTTGCCGGCTGCTTTAAGTCCCATGTCGGCTCCCGGAGGTTAAACAGGCCTCAGATTATTAGAGCGGCGCCTCCACCTGCAGCTCGGACCCAACATGGTCTCCGGTGCCGGGTTTGTTTTGTTTCAGCTCCTCTGCTTTACATTCAGAATCACCTACAACACCGGCAGGGTCCGCAAAGGTCAGTGAAAGGTTGGAGGATGCACACAAAGGTCTGTGTACGTCTCGGAACACGAGCAGGCTCTGCAGCACCTTCAGACATCGTCAGAACAGAAGAGGCTTGTTTGTTTGTTTGTTTACCAACAGAATATTTTTTCTTCGCTGTTGAGATAACTAACAAAGTATCTGAGATAAACGCTAAGGAGTTGGGTTTCAGACATATTTAACTCAAATGTTTCTATATAACCGGGTCTCAAAACGAGACCCTCATTTTGCCAGAATGGACCCTGGGTCCATGAGAACCACCAGGTTTTTAGTCAAGAAGATATGACAGAGGACTGAAGAGAGGAGACAGGAATATAAGGAGATGCAACGTAGAGCAAAGAGGGAGGTGGCTAAGGTAAAGCAGAAGGTGTATGATGAGTGGTATGGGAGGCTGGACACTAAAGAGAAGGACTTGTACTGATTGGTGATACAGAGGGATCAGGCTGGAAAGGATGTGCAGCAGGTTAGGCTTGTTAAATATAGGAATGGTAATGTTCTAGCAAGCGAGGAGAGTGTGACGGGAAGATGGAAGAGTACTTTGAGGAGCTAATGAATGAAGAGAATGAAAGAAAGAAGAATAGAGGTCATAGAAACTGTGCACCAGGAAGTGGGAAAGATTAGTGAGGGTGAAGTCCAGACAGCTCTGAAAAGAAAGAAGGGGAAGGCTGTAGGAACTGATGACATACCAGTGGAGGTTTGGAAATGTCTTGGAGAGATGGCAGTGAGGTTTTTGACTCAAATATTCAACAACATATTTGAGGGTGAGGAAATCCCTCAGGATTGAAGGAGAGGTGTGCTGGTGCCCATTTTTAAGAACAAAGGTCACGTACAGAGTTGTAACAATGAAAGAAGAAGGAAGAATACTCTTTTCCTCCTGCATTCCCACTCACATTACCTAAGGGGGGCCACCAGGACCGACAGAAACCAGGAAACTATCCCTAAAACCAGGCCGGACCACCAGGACCACCAGAAACCTGCAGGATCATCTGACCTCAGAGGAGCCATCGTTTATCTCCCTTTGTTCTTCTCATCTCCATTTGCATATTAATAAAAGTTTACAGTTTCTGAGGGGTGTGTGTGTGTGTGCAGACAGACCAAGGACACATCACACACACACACCTGCTGAACAAGAAGTAAACATACAAAAATATGCAGAACACACACACACGTCACTTTTTGTATCTCCACCACTGTCTCTGTCTCACACGATCGCGCATGCACGTACACACAAACACACACACACACACCCTGTGGCAGCGGCGTGTGTGTCTTCATGAAATCACAGAGGCTCTGACCGCCTCATAGTAATTATGCTAATTGCCTGGATGCCCTTGCCTTTATTTATGCGGCGCTGCTAAGATAAATAAAAGGAAATTGCTTTGGATCTAACTGTATTCATTTCAGCATGCTAACTAGAACACTAATGCTGCTCTGTGTGTGTTTGTGTGTGTGTGTGTGTGTGGGGGGGGGGGTCTCAGAGGGTCAGCTGTTCACAGGTTTGTTTACCCTTCAGACTTCTGCAGGTAATTGCAGCTTTGATCGTAGATTTTCAGTCCGATTGTTTCGATGTTTCTTGGGAGTGACAGGAAGTCGTCTGTCGGCGTGTTTCTAAATGTTTTGTCTTTCAGAGCCGCCTCGTTTCACCTGACCCATGTGGATGCAACAGTTCAGCAGGGTTCAGACCCGAAGCTCCAAGTGGAGACCTTCATTGTTGTTGACTGTTGGCCGGACATTCAGGGACATAAATCACACGATAAATAAAAATGTAAAACTGGTCCAAAAGTCCCAAAAATAAATAAATTAATTAAATTAAATTTGTATGCATCCTTTATGATTGTTTGTTGGTGTTGTCGTTGTCCACAGTACCATGCTGCTAACAGTACCTCACTAACAGAACCACACTGCTAACAGAACCACACTGCTTACAGGACCATGCTACTAATGGGCCCATATTGCTAAGAGAACCTCACTGCTAACAGAACCTCACTGCTAACAGGACCATGCTACTAATGGGACCATATTGCTAAGAGAACCACACTGCTAACAGAACCTCACTGCTAACAGAACCACACTGCTAACAGGACCATGCTGCTGTAGATGAATTTCTTTTTCACTTTTGGTGACTTGTTTTTTTGTTGCTTGCTTTGGTATTTGTTGTTGTTGTTGTTTTTTTTGGCTAGTCGAGATGTTTCTTCTCGTCCTGAGCATTTCATTGCATTGTTGATCTTGTGTTGATCTGCATGACAAAACTAAACCTAGAACCACAGCAGAAGCGTGATTAAAAAAAAAAAAAAAACACATTTCGATACCAAGGCTCCATCAAGGCCTTGATTATCACTCAGTTGCTTATCACCCACCACAGCCTTTGCCAAAGGCATGTGGCGATCTGTTTGCCAGTATGTTTGTCTGTAAAGGTTCAAGGTTCTTTATTGTCATTCGCATCACATGTGGTACATGAGGTGGAACAACACTTTGTATTCAAGGACCCAGTTACACCCAAAAATAGCAAAAATATAAAGTATAAAAAGAAACAGTATACAAAGATCTAAAATACATGCTAAACACTAATAATGTAAAACAAGGTATGGCAGCTCGAACAACAGTCTGTGCTGTTAACAAAATATCTCATGAATTACTGTATGAATCTTGGAACCTGAATAATGCCTCCTACAAGATCTTGTACCCCCAGATGTGTTATCGGAGTCTGTAGAATCTGCAACAAGAAGCTGGTGGTAATTTATCTCTGTGGCTGCTTGGAGTTGGCACCTCCTTATAGCTGCGGTGACTTCAACACTCAGTTCAGTCCCTCTTTAACTTCTAAGTTCCTGTAACAGGAATTTATTCTCTCTTATGCTGCCAGAAAATCTTTCATCAGGGCAAACATTCCACCATCAAGCACACCAGCTGTGACACGCCCAGACTGGGATTGACACTCTTCTTCCTCCGATTAGCACATAGCTTCACCTGTTGGGTGTGCTGGTGCCTCTGCTGCTGAAGACTGCCCAGTTGTCACGGTTTCTGCTGCAGAATCTGAAGATGTTGAGGGTTTAGTTTACGATGTTTCTGACTACTTGCGGTTGTGAGCACAATCCAGTCCTCGGTCTGGCAAAATGAGCTGCTTTCTTGTGACTTGCCATCCCACTCTTGACACCAACTGTCACAGGTTCATTTTTTCCACGTAGACATTTATTAAATCTGAATGAAAATTCTCCAAATTAAATCCATGGGCAACGCTTCAGATCCTCCCAGATTTTATTTCCTCTTCAAAAAGGGTAAAAACTGGCCTTCCTTACCAGCTTGATACAATAATTCCCACACATCGTTACCTTCTGTGTAATCACCTTACACATTCTCTCTGTCGGGCAGCAACTCTTAATCTTTAGCTCCTCCCACATAACACAATTTAAACAAATACAACTTTAACTGTTCGGTTCATTCTCACTGAAAATCATAATTAACCCAACAATAATAATGAACCAAATAATTTAAAGTCACATGATCATGGAAGCATCTTTTTAGTCAGTCAATTGTCCCACCCACTATGTAATGCACAGAGGGAAGAGGCCATCATATCACTCAGTGCAAGAGCAACAGGTGCAAATAATGTTTTTAATGTGTTTTACTGAACCGACCCCCCAAGTGTGCTCCACTGGTTGTTATAATGAACTCTACTGTCAAGACTTAAACTACGGGGAGAGAGGATTGGAGTGTGACGTGGCTCTGTGTGCACGTGGTCGTGTATTTATACATGACTAAAGTGTGAAGATATCTAGTGATTAACCTTAGCTGTCAACTCAAATCAACATGGCACCACAGCCAGCAAACAGGAGTGGCTACAACTCAGAGTTAGCTGAAACGTGGTGTGGTAGTAGCTGAGAGACAACAAA